GAATTACAGGATGTGAGTATTATTTAAATTCATAATCATTTAGACCAAAGTTTCAAGCTAATATAACATCTTAATTAATTATCACATAATCGAATGTATATTTTATTACAGGGAGTGAGTTTCATTTAATTAATAATTAGTTAGATCAAAGTTTCAACCTGATCTAACATCTGATAATACTTTAAATTAATTTTCATGTAATCAAATACATATTTTATTACAGGGAGTGAGTTTTATTTAAATTCATAATAATCAAGATCAAAGTTTCAAGTTATCTAACACTCTTTAATTAAATTATCACATAATTCATCTAATAATGCTTTAATTGATTATCATGCAATTAAATCTCAGGAGGTGAATATTATTTGAATTCATAATTATTTAGATCAAAGTTCAATCCAACATCCACTGGTCAAATACAAAAAAATTGCTGGCTAAAATCATCAACAATCGGAATTTCTAATAAATAGCCAGCTAAATTTGACAAATCAACCATCCTATTCTTTCTTATTTTTTCCTATTCATGCTGGCTATTCTTTTGTATTTGACCTGTGATCTAATAATGCTCTTTAATAATTCAAATACATATTTTATTATAGGGAGTGAGTATTATTTAAAATTCATAATCATTTAGATCAGCCTAATTTAACATCAAATAATACTCCTTTGATTAATTATCATGCAATTGAATCACAGGATGTAAGTATTGTTTATTTAGTTCAAAGTTTCAAGCTAATATAACATCTAATATTACTTCTTTTATTGATTATCATGTAATTGAATCACAGGATGTAAGTATTATTTAAATTCATAATCATTTAGATCAAAGTTTCAAGCTAATCTAACATCTAATAATACTTCTTTAATTAATTATCATTTAATTAATACATATCTTATTACAGGGAGTGAGTATTATTTAAATTCATAATTATTTAGATCAAAGTTTAAGCTAATCTAACATTTATTAATACTCCATTAATTAATTATCATGTATATCTTATTACAGTTTGTGAGTATTATTTAAATTCATAATTATTTAGATCAAAGTTTCAAGCTAATCTAACATCTTATAATACTTCTTTAATTCATTATCATGCAATTGAAATTAAATCACAGGAGGTGAGTATTATTTAGATCAAAGTTTCAAGCCACTCTAACATTTAATAATATTTCTTTTATTAATTAAATACATATCTTATTACAGGGCGTGAGTATTATTTAAATTCGTAATTATTTAGATCAAAGTTTCAAGCAAATCTGACATTTAATAATATTTCTTTAATTAATTAAATACATGTCTTATTACAGGGCGTGAGTATTATTTAATTCATAATTATTTAGATCAAAAGTTTCAAGCTAATCTAACATCTGATAATACTTCGTTAATTAATTATTATGCAATTGAATCACAGGAGGCAAGTGTTATTTAGATCAAAGTTTTAAGCCAACATCTAATATACTTCTTTAATTAATTATCACATAATCAAATACATATCTTATTACAGGGTGTTAGTATTATTTAAATTCATGATTATTTAGATTAAAGTTTTAAGCTAATCTAATATTTAATAATACTTTAATTAATTATCACTTAATCAAATATATATCTTATTACAGGGAGTGTGTATTATTTAAATTCATAATTATTTAGATCAAAGTTTCAATCTAATCTAACATGTTTAATTAATTATTGCATAATCAAATATATATATTATTACAGGGAGTGAGTATCATTTAAATTCATAATTATTTAGATCAAAGTTCAATCTAATCTACCACTAATAATACTTCTTTAATTAATTATTACATAATAAATACATATCTTATTACAGGGAGTGAGTATTATTTAAATTCATAATTATTTAATCAAAGTTTCAACCTAATCTAACATCTAATAATACTTCTTTAATTAATTATCACATATCTTATTACAGAAAGTGAGTATTATTTAAATTCATAATTATTTAGATCAAATTTTCAAGATAACCTAACTTAATAATCACATAATCAAATACATATCTTATTACAGGAAGTGAGTATTATTTAAATTCGTGATTATTAAGCAATTAAATATTAATTAATCTTGGTAATTATTTATCAATTATATTAAAGGTGAGTATTTAGATTCATAATTAATGAAATCAAAGTTTTTAAATTAATTTATTTTCAACTAATACTTTTCTAATCCATTGCAAATGTAGGAGGTAAATATTTATATTTATAAATATTTCAATATAGAGTTTTTATAATGGCTTATTTTAAATAATACATTTTAGTGGCTACATGAGATATGGATATTGCAAAGGCTGTCAACGAAACAATACTGGGGATAAATGGTGCAATACATGTAATAGCATAAGATTTCAAAGTGAATTTAATAAATGGACAAGTGAAGATAAAGAAATTGATGAGTTTATTCAACAAACTCAACTTAAGGCAACTAAATATGAAGAAGTTATTGAATGGATTCCATTTGATAAATTTAATAATATTGAATATCTTGCTAAAGGAGGTTTTGGCAAAGTTTTTAGGGCAACATGGTCTGATGGATTTATTATATCTTGGAATTCTCAAAAGAAAACTTGGGAAAGATCACCATACAGAGATGTTTGCTTAAAAAGTCTTAATACTTCTACAAGTAAAGGTGAATTTTTACAAGAGATAAAAAATCAACTCATATTTCGAGGTGTATGGGCAATTGCAATATATGGAATAACTAAAAATCCGGCAGAGAATGAATATACGATGGTTATGCAATATGCAAAATATGGTAGTCTACGAAAAATGTTGAATAGTAGCTTTAAAAAATTAACTTGGAATAATAAAATTAAGATTTTATATTACATAGCTTTAGGACTTGCTAGAATTCATAAAACTGGCTTGATGCACAAAGATTTTCACTCTGGCAATATAGTTAATGAAACTAAAATTAGTTCTTATATTACTGATTTTGGATTGTGCAAGCCAGTTTCACAATGTGATAAAGAAAAAATTTATGGAGTAATTCCATATATGGCACCTGAGACATTGAATAGAGGAGAATATACTCAAGCATCTGACATTTACTCATTTGGTATGATTATGTATGAAATTTTTACTAGTTATCCACCTTATTATAATGTACCACATGATGAAAAACTTGTAATTTTAATTTGTGATGGTCATAAACCTGATACTATGTGTGAGATTCCACAATTACTCAAAGATTTAATGGAAAAATGTTGGGATACTAATCCTTTCAATCGTCCAAAAGCTATAGACTTGGAATCTCAACTTATGAAATATTCTGATTATGATCATAATAGCGAGATAATTAGACAGATTGAAAAAGCCAATGAGACTAATAAGTTAAAGAAAAATTTTGTTCAATATGATCCAAAAATGACACATCATCAAGCAATATACACAAGTAGACATTTGCCTTTTCTGAAACCAAAAAAAGCTGAACATGGTAAGTATATCTTTTTAAAACAAATAATCGTTTTATAAAATATTTACATAAATTTTATTTTAGATACAAACCAGTGGGATTTTGAAATCCCTGAATATATAAGTAAGCATTGTGTTTCTTGAATTATTTGTTTAGCATGTTTAATTTAAAAACATAATTAACGACATTTAAATTTGTATAGTTGAAGAAAATGAAATTCCAGAGAATTAATCATTAATTTATTTTCTGTTTTGTCTTGATATTGTTATATCGTTTTTAATATTTAATATTTAGTAATAGTTATTTTTTTTATATTTTATTATCATCTTATTTCATTTTATATATTTATTTATTTGATCACTGGAATTATAGAGTATAGCTTTTTATTTAAATTAAAAGCTGACCAGTATGTAATCAATTAAAATAAATCTTTATTGTTATTTTTATTTCTGCATGATGTGTTTATACTCTTACTCTTTTCATGCTCATGAGAAAGATTGATTTAATTGTATGAACTGAATAATTTCATTAATTGGGTTCATCTAACTAAATTAAGTAATAAACAAAATTGTCATTTATTATAGTAAGTGCAATATCTCTCCTATCTTTAAAATAATCTTTTTCTAATATTATATAAAAAAAAATAATAATTTCATATCATTGTTGATCTAATTATTATTGTTGTCTAACGATTCTAAAATAGAAATAAAATCAGAATTTTTTTCAAATAAATGATAAAATAATAAAAATAAATACAAATACATTTTAATTTCAATATTATTTTTTTTATCATTTATTATACCTATTGTTTTTTTCAGTACGTTTCTAATTACATAATTATATTATGATAATAATATTGATCATAATTATAATTATTAATTGTGTTTTTTGGTGTTGTTATCAGTATTATTGATGTTAGCAATTTTGTTAAACTTCATCTTTGATAAATATATCTAATGGTGATGTTTTGGTGGTATTTTTGATAGTGATGTTTTTATTGTTTCGAAACTGGTTTTATTGTTCTTTGACACCATGAATTATTATTATCCGTTTCTCCATCTGTAAGAAAATGAAATAAAAATAATAGTATAAAAAGTACAGTAAATACAATATTAAAATAAAGAAATAACAATAAAAAATAAAAATTGCCCAAATTATTGAGTTGGTAAATAATATTTTAAAATATTACTAAATATATCTTGATTTTTTTTTGTTCCTCTTTCGCAGAGATTTCAATAAATTTTTAAGTGATGATAAACTTGATTTATTCCATTTGATTATTAAAATATTCTTCTAAATTTTGAAATTGATTTTCAGTTTCATCATTTCTTTGATGTCTTTGTCTCAGTTTCGATTTCTTTCACCACCTCATCTTCCTGTTGTTGCTGGTTATTATGATTGTCATTTTCATTGCTGTTATTCCATAATTATTGTTATTATTTATGTTAATAATGATCTTCAAAGCAAATCTCATAACTTTAGTAATGATATTATAAAGATTAATATGTACCTTTTATTATAAAATTTTTGTTTAATTTCGAAAAAATTATTTAAAATTTTATAATTCATAATGCCAATTTCATGTAAAAAATTAGCTATTAAAAATAGATTAAAGAATCAATTATGTAATAAAAGCACTGGCTAGTTTTTCACAATATTCAGATAGTAATGATAATGATGAATATTAAACTGATATTAATTATTCAACAGACAGTTCAGATGAAGGTTATGATCAAAAAAGTATTAAAATTGGGTAAAATGACTTCAAATATGACAAATTTGTTTTCTGTTTTTTAATTTTTAATTAAAATCATATAAAAATATACAAAATAAATAAAAATTTATTCTATTTTTTAGAATATCATGAAATGAAAAAAGCATCTTACATTGGTAAATCTACTGAAACATATTATCAAAAATATGGTCCATCAGCCATTTATACAAAAGCAGCAAAATGTTCTTTACCAATTAATAAATATTTTACACAAACAGAATCAGATGTTACAATTAATACAGAAATTAATAGTAATATTTTAATACAAGAAAATTTAAAAGAAGAACTTGTAGAAAGTATACAAGATAAAAATGATATTTTAGCATCAGAAGCATCAGAAGAAAATTCAAGTGAATTTACAGACAATATACAAGATGAAATGGATATTGAAAATGACAATAATGATAATTTTTCAGAAAGAATAAATGCATTAAAATAATTCTTAAACAAAATAAAAAAAAATTTCAGCATATAATTTTCTTAGATATCAATCAGTTTATAAATTTTTTATTAATAAAAAAGAAAAAAATATAAATAGTAAAGATGCTTCATTTAATGCAGCAAAGAAAGTTTTTGACAAAGGATTATATTGTGCAAAAGCAATTTGTAAATGATCAAAAAATTGGCTTGAAATGGTATATTACCAACATACTCACAAGGTTGTTATCAAAAAACCAAGTCATTAATAGATGATGAAGATATAATTTAAAAGAGTTTGGAATTTATTTATAATAATAAAGGAAAAATTCATCAAAATTATATAGATCTTTTATCAACAAAACTCTTTTTTTTTACAATTGGGAATAATTAAATTAATTTCAGAAAAAACAGCTAGAATATGATTATGAAAACTTGAATTAATTTCACAATTACGAAAAAAAAAAATTTATTTTGATGGGCATGAATGTTCAAATGTGATAGAATATAGAAATATTTTTCTTAAAAAGATGGAAGAGTATTGTTGACCATGATCCAACTTTCAAGGGATATGATTAATTATTAACTAAAGGTATGGTAGCTAAACTAAAGTATATTACTACTAATTAATTTATACTACATAAAGTATAGTGTTTGAAGGATTTAGATATTGCAGATTTGTTTGAAAGAGGCAAGGCTATGAGATTTTTATAAGGGTTTAACTAAACTATTTACAAAGAACATGATATAAACTAAACTAAACTGATAATTCCTAATACTAAGTAGAGAATTATAACATAAAAACTGTATATCAAGATTATAAAGCAAAGTATAATTCAACAAGGGTTTCGATATTCCACTAAGGAATAATACAGAATTTCACTAAGAAATTACAAAAATTTTCCAGAGATTTTGCACAATTTTTTTACAAACATTTTTCTTTAAACCAGAATAACTCCATGAATATTAATGTTACCAGGATGAAACACATATTATTTTGCAGCCAAGAATAGGACCTTCCTTTATATCTTAAAAATATCTTAGTAGAAAATTTCTCCATATTTTGTAAATTGTAAGCAAAGTCAAAAATGTAAAAAATTTTTCATTATTAAAATTTACTGATATTATATTAGGCTTGTAAGCCATATATAGGCTTGCGAGCCATATATAGGCTCGTGAGTCTTATGAACAGGTTTGCAAGCCCATATATTAGGCTTAAGAGCCCAACAAGCTCAGTCAAACCTAGTCAAGCTGAGCCTTAGTCAGGCTCGAGCTTGTTAGCCCTGGGCTTGCAGGCCACAAGCTTATAATATTAGGATTGGCTTGGCCAGGCTTGACTGGGCTTGATGAGCTCGCAAACCCTTAAGGCTCATGGGAAGCTTTACTTAATACAATATCTTTTTCCAAATCTAAATATTTTAGTTAATACTGAGGCTAACATTTAAATTGTAATTTAATCATAATTAAAAAATGGATGAATAGTTAATTAGAATTAGATAAATAAAGTAAATAAATCACTTTGAAGAAATTAACAGTATAGTCTATTTATTAATTATAGCAAACTATAATTATATTGAGGCAAAGCAATTTTGTAAGCATGGGATTATCACAGGGGATGATAATTGGTAATACTAAGATGATTGTATGAAGATGATAATTTATATTGCCATCCAAATGGGGATGAAGGATAATACACAAGGATGAAAGATGAAGTATAAAGGATGATGGATAAAAATTGAATGAAGGTGAAAATGTATAAAAGAAATAGCAGTTTTTTGTAGTCTAAAGGAGAGTCTTAGTAGTTTCTTAGACTTCAGTTAATTAATAATTACAGATAGTTTTGAATATTATTATTATTAGATAGAAAA